GTTCTTTCAGCTTGAGAAATGCTAAGCATAGTCTTCCCTTTAGGTTTTCTTCTGCACAAGACAAGACCTCTTTAAAGTGTTCAAGAGCAAAGATGTCAGTGAAGAATAAGTTGTTTGAGGATTAAAAGCAAAGATATCAGTTTGAGGACTGACCGTAGCCATGTTATTTTCAGTCACCTCATATGCATGTGAAAGTTAGACAGTGAATAAAGAAAACCATAGAATTGGTGCATTTGAGTTAGGGTGTTGGAGAAGAATATTAAAAGCATCACGCAATGTCAAAAGAACAAACAAATTTGTGTTGGAAGGAGTACAGCCAGAATGCTCCTTAGAAGCCAGGATGGTCAGACTACATTTCTCATACTTCAGACACATTACCAGGAGGGACCAATCTCTGCAGAAGGACATCATGTTTGGTAAAGTGGCAGGTCAGCGAAAAAGAGTAAGACCCTCATTCAATAAGATGGATTGGCACAGTGGCAGCAGCAATGTGCTCTAGCATAGCAATGATTGTGAGGTTGGCGCAGGACTGGGCAGTATTTTGTTCTGTTGTGCATAAGGTTACTATGAGTCAGTACCAACTCGACAGCACCCAACAACAACTAACAATGTTTTGCACATTTGGTAAGAAAAATTTACTAAAAATATGTAAACTTTTTTTGGTGCCCACACCCTGGTTCCGGTAGGCTGTGCCATGCCTAGAATTATCTGGTTTAGTCTTCAATCCATTCAAAAGAATGACTGTGTTCCTAGCCACATGTTGCATACTCTAAAAAACCAAGCTCACTGACACTGAGTCAGTTCTGACTCTAAGAGACCCTATAGGGCAGAGTAGAACTACTGCCTAGGGGTTCCCAGGCTATAAATCTTTACAGAATCAGACAGGGCATCTTTCTCCCTTAGAGCGATTGGTAGAACTGAACCACCAGATGTGGTTCACAGCCCCAACAGGGCTCATTTTGGATACTTTATGTCTAAAAATTAGTCATATTTCAGCATGAACCAGAGCCTAGATTTTGATCATTCTAGGCATGGCATGGCAACGTAGGTCCAAGTACTGAGAGTAGGAAGACCTTTGGTCTTGGTCTTCAGTTCCCTGGTGTCTGCTCTCTCCTTCTACTCTAGAACTGGGCCCTACAGAAGTCGCCCTCACAGCCATCATGACCATGCTTGCTATGGGCTCCATCATCATCTTCCTGGAGGATGCTGTTTACCTGTATAAGAATACCCGTTGTCCCATCAAAAGGAGGACTCTGCTCTGGAGTAGCTCTGCACCCACGGTGAGGGCCCTGTACCTGCCCTTTGAGAGGGACTGGAGAGGAGGCAGGGCTCATTTTGAGAATTCCTTGAACTCAACAGTTCGTCCTTGCAAAGGTGGTCTGCCTCTCCCGTTTCAGAATAGAGATTTGTAAACTGATCTCATTTGCAGTTAGAACCCCATGAATGGAAGGCTGAGTGTTGGAGTGTTTTCATTCTAAGATCCTGCAGAGATGGCTGGAGAGCCTGCACTTGCCCACTTCTGTCAAAAGCGAGCCTTTTTCTTGTACAGGCTGGTGGAAGATCCTCAGACTGTAGGAGGGAAACAATTTTTCCCCCATAGAGTCATACTCAGCTCTACCCTTATGCTTTCTAAAACTCACTCCCACAACCATTATAGAGGTCTTTGGTTTGTTCCTGGGGTATAAGATTGGACTTCTGTTCCCTTGTAATGAGCTCTGTGGGTCTATTTAGGGTAGAGGTAGAGCCCTTGAGGTCTTGCCGGCCAGGTAACATCTGCGGGGGCCTTCTCCAACCATCAGAGGCTCTAGTGTGGCACTGCAGGATAACGCACTGGATCCCAGGGTCAGTTTGAACCACCAGGTCGGCAGTTCACTCACCAACTGTTCTTGGAAACCCTTTACAGGGTCAATATGAGTTAGAATCAACTTGACAGCACTTAACAGCAACCTAATCAAAGAAAAGGAGCACTGCGAATCTCTAGGAAAACCACTGCACTGCTAACCAGAAAATCAGCAGTTTAAGCCCACCAGACACTCTGCGGGAGAAAGATGAGGCTTTTGCTCCTGTAAAGACTTTCAGCCTCAGAAACCCTGCCCAGGGTCATGATGAGTCTGAACTGACTCAATAGCACTTAACAAGAACAATCAAAGGAAGGAGTTCAAACTGGATCCATTTACTCCTAAGGATAAACTTTCCTACTCCTTCCACAGGGGTACAGCAGGACAGCTTCCAAAAGAGCCCTGACACAAGAGACTGGCTTGTTGTCTCTAACCCTAGACATAATAACTGACAACTGACTTTTAAATGAAATTCTTTTTGAGAACTATTGTATGAGACCACTATTATAAAAACTCAAGAGATATTCTTTGATTACCAAAGGTGGATGGGGAAGAGAGCATGAATCACTTAGTAGATATTTGTTGCTGTTATTGTTAAGTACCTTCATTGTTAAGTGCCTTCTAGTCATTTCTGCTAAGGAGCTCTGGTAGCGTAGTGGTTACGACTCGGGCTGCAAACCTTAAGGTCAGCAGTTCGAAACTACTAGCCGCTCCACGGGAGAAAGATGAGGCTTTCTACTCCCGTAAGGATTTACACCCTCGGAAACCTTGTACAGGGTCGCTATGGGTTGGAACCGACTCGACGGCACTTAACAACAACAACAACAACAAGTCATTTCTGATTCATAGTGACCCTATGTAGGGTTTCCTAGGAATGACTGGTGGATTTGAACTGCTGATTTTGTGGTTAGCAGTCCAGTACTCATCCTACAGTGCCACACCAGGACTCCAAGCAGATGGCTGTTGTTAAAGTGACATCCAGTCAGTTCCGACCCGTAGCACCCCTGTATAGGGTTTCCGAGGAGTGGCCGGTGAGCTTGAACCACCAACCTTGCGGTTCAAACCAACTTTGCAGTCCAGCACATTAACCCACTGCGCCACTCCAGGACTAGACACATACTAACTTGGTTGAACCAACCAATGGCCGTTGAGTCAATTCTAATGCTGAGCTGTAGGACAAAGTAGAACTGCTCCATAGAGTTTCCAGTACTAGATATCTTTATAGCAAACAGCCTCATCCTTCTCCTGAGGAGTGGCTGGTGGGTTCAAACTGCCAGCCTCATGGTTAGAGGTTCAACATGTAACCCACTACACCAATAGGGAAAGGCAAAATAAATAAAACAAAAAGAAGTTGCAAAAACTCCAAACCACATGAAATTCACTTGATTCTGAATTGACAGTAGAAATAGAAACCAGCTGTATAAAAATAAAAGAGGGAACTCAGAAATAATAGAGGGGACAGCCTCTGTGAGGACATGACTTTTAAGCAGAGACTTGATTGGCTGGCAGGACTGTGGAGGGAAGAGATGCAGATGGAGGGAACGCCTCTGAGGTGGGGATGAGCTTCTAGTGCTGCAGGAAGAGGGTTTGTGGCCAGAGTTGGTAAGCAGGGGAGTGACTCGAATGAATGGCAGACATTATGAGGCTGGTGAGGAAACCAGGTGGGTCACATTTCACTAATAAATAAATTGGTTATTCTTTTTCCAGATGATGTTTCAAGTAATGTGGCTTCAAAGTTTTGCTTCCTTAGGCCATTGCCTTTAAAGGGGCCAGAGGGTGAACCATAGTCTCCTGCCTGCCCTCATGGCTCTTGCCCTTCCCCAAACAGGTGGTGTCTGTACTCTGCTGCTTTGGTCTCTGGATCCCTCGCTCCCTTACACTCGTAGAAATGGCCATCACCTCGTAAGTACCCTGTCCAGACCCCAGCTCTCGACTTGGTTGTCTCCCTGGGGTTCCCTTCTGCTATGCATTCACCCTGGACCCCACATTCCATGTCTCCTTCCCTACCCTGTCCCTTCCCCGTCCATCAAAGAGACTCTATTACATGGGATTAATCAAACAAAGAGGCTGAACCTTGATCTGTTTACTCCTAAGGATAAAGTTTCCTACTTCTTTCCCAGGGATAGAGCATGGGTCTTCAATAGAGCTCCATTCAAGGGGCTTGCTGTCTCTAACCCTAGCAGAACTGATGGCTAAATTAAAAATTTTTTAAAAGGGGGGGAGGGCAAATATTACATGCGACCACTATTATGAAAAGTCATGAAAAGGTCACACTAAGAGAAACATTCTTTGATTACGAGGGGTGGGAAGATAAATCACTAACTAGAGGGTTGTTAGTGCCATCAAGTTGGGTTCCACTCAGCCATCCTGTATAGGGTTTCTGAGGAGTGGTTGGTGGGCTTGAACCACTAACCTTGTGGTTAACCATTCAGTGCTGATCCTACAGTGGTGATGGTGTGCAATGGAGTTGGTTTCAACTCATAGCAACCCTTACAGGGTTTCCGAGGCTGTAAATCTTCTGTAAATCATTACAGGAGCAGAAAGTCTCATCTTTCTCCCACATAACATCTGATAGTTTTGAACCGCTGACCTTGAGGTTAGCAGCCTGACTTGTAACCACTACGCTATCAGAGCTCCTTGATCCTAGAACTAGAGGGTGTAGTGGTGGTGGTGATGTGCCGTGGAGTCAGTTCTAACTCATAGCGACACCGTACAGGGTTTACGAGGCTGTAAATCTTTACGGGAGCAGAAAGCCTCATCTTTCTCCTACGAAACAGCTGGTAGTTTAGAACTGCTGACCTTGTGGTTCGCAACCCAATTTGTAACCACTACGCTACTGAAAACAAACTGATCATTGAATCTAGCCTTCCCCAACTATGCCATTCTGGGTCTCTGCCACTTCTAGTTCTGTTCAGAGGGTGCCTTATTCTGGCACATTCTTCAGTTGTCTCTTTATTCCCACAGCCTGAAACTGCCCTCCTCCCCAGCCTCATCCTCTCTCACTCCTCTGAGTGCACACTCCCAACACCCCGTCCTCCTGTCTTCCCCTCAATAAGCCCCACACTCCCTGTTCCTTTCTAAGTCCCTTTGACTTGGCAGCTAATGGCTGTCCCCTCTGCTTGGCTGACATCCCCTCCCCACCATCCCAAGTTTTTACGCAGTGTGTTTTTACCTGCTGATGCTGGTTATGGTGGAAGGCTTTGGTGGGAAGCAAGCAGTACTGAGGACACTGAAGGACACCCCCATGAGGATCCACACGGGACCCTGCTGTTGCTGCTGCCTCTGCTGCCCACCCCTCATGCTCACCAGGTAGGGTGGGAGGGAACAGGCTAGATTGCTGTTCTCTTGCTGCGCTCTCCCACAAGCCTCTTCCCTTCTCCACTCTGCTTCAGAGCTCTTGGAATTGGACTTGTATGGATCAGTGACAGAATGGGCATCCCACAGCTAGACCCTCCTCCTGAATTTCTATCTTGACAGGAGAGAGGACACACAAAGGGTCCCCAGTCCCAAAGGAAGTGGGGAGCACAGGAAGGAGAACTTTTATGTTACTGTCACTTGAGCTCATTGCCCCCTGCAAACCTTAGCCACACAGAGCTAACTAGACTTTGGGCTATTTACTTGCCCCATCTGCCCATTTTGGTAAATAAAGTTGAGTCTTGCTCAAAAGGTAGCACCTGGAGATGAACTGAAGGCAAAGAGGAAGGTTCTCAGTACTCCCAGCATTCTGATTTCTTCTTGTGTCCCTGTTTACTTCCTTGTTTTAGTGTTGATGACAGCAACCAAGCCTCCACCTGGGAGCCCTGTGAGGTCTCCTTGGGATGAGTGGTTTGTGGGTTCATGTTCCTAACCCTCATTTCCCTCAGGAAGAAGCTTCAGCTGCTAATGTTGGGCCCGTTCCAGTATGCTTTCCTCAGGATAACGATGATTGTGGTGGGCCTGTTTCTCATTCCTGATGGCATCTTTGACCCAGCAGATGTAAGCCGGGAGGGAGTAAGCAGTAGCAAAGTCCAAGTCTCACTTAGAACTTTGAGCTCCAGAATAGCTGGAACCCACATGCCCTAACACAGGATCCCAGGACAGGGGGCTGTGGTAGGGAGAAGACTGCACTAGGCTAAGGTAGGGGGGCTTTCCTACTACCTTTGCCACCATGGGAGAGGAGAGAAGTCAGATGACAACAGATTGCTTCCCTCACCAACTACGTTCTGGTCTGCTGCCAGATTTCTGAGACAAGCACGGCTCTCTGGATCAACACTTTACTCGGGGTGTCCACCCTGCTGGCTCTCTGGGCCCTGGCCATCATTTTCCGTCAAGCCAAGCTGCACCTGGGTGAGCAGAACATAGGAGCCAAATTTGCTCTGTTCCAGGTAACTAATTCTATTACGATTGGTCTGTCATGGAACTACAAATGATTAGAGGTGGGAAGTTTGGGATTCTTAAGCTCAGGCTTCCTGTGAGATTTGGAAAATGACTCCCTGCCCCTTTCCAGTTTTTGCCTCTCCTAGCATGGAGTCCTGGTGTGGCACTGTGGGCTAATGCGTCAGACTGCAAAGTCGTTTGAACTGCAAGGTTGGTGGTTCAAGCTCACCAGCTGCTCCTTGGAAACCCTATACAGGGTCGCTATGGGTCGGAATCAATTCAACGGCACTTAACAACAAAGCATGGTCACACTCCCTTAAAATTCTTCAGCTCTTGTTTATCCTTTTATTTTCTCCCCACTACTTCCTAACACGGAGCCCTGGTGGCGTAGTGGGTTATGCGTTGGATTGCTAACCACAAAGTCAGCTGTTTGAATCCACCTGCCACTCCGCGGGAGAAAGATGAGGCGTTCTGCTCCTGTAAAGATTTACAGCCTCGGAAACCCTGCACAGGGTCAATATAGGGTATCCATGGCTGTAACCAACTTAACAGACGGCACATGACCACCACCACTGTCATTTCCTAAAACCCTGTAACCCATCACCAGCAGCAGCAGAGCTATCACAGCTCCGTACAATCTACACCATGTACTGAGCACAGTCCAAACATCACATTTCACAGTCATCCTGGGAGGCATTTATTATTCATATTTTACAAGCGAGGAGACTGAGACTCGGAAATGTTCTAGGGGCTTGCTGACAGGCACATAGCACATGGGGCTACAATTAAAACCCAGGTCTAACTTTCAAATTCATGTCCCTTCTTGTCATTACACCGCCTCTTCCGCTTCACAACTCTCATGAAGATTCTTTCATGCTTTTTGTTGGACTTGAGGGTGGAGGTTTTTTTGGCCCCACTTTCTATTTCCCAAGCCCAAAAATGACCTGCCTGCAAATGCAATGACTTCTAAATCACTCTTGGTTTTCTTCTGTCCGTTCGTAGCATCTCCTTGGAGGGCCCTTCCCCTCCCCAGGCATAATGATTGCTTCACAATTAATAGTGACTTCATATACATTCTCATTGATCAAAGCTGATGCCTCTCAAAGTGAATTTCCAGGCAAGTAACAGGAAGACATGAAGGGATTCCAGGGATAACAGAGCGAGGGACTGAAGGGACAGAAAGGATCTAGGCCCCAGATTAGGATTAGGCTCAGAGTAAACACCATGTGACTGCCGTGGACCTGCAGGAGGCGGATGCTTCTGGAAGTGCTCTCAGTGCTACAGAAGGTGATGCTCTGGGCTCCTGTGCAGAGTTTTTTAAAGGGCATTTTAATGGTTAATAGTCTGTTGTTCTAGGAGCAAGGATCATAGGTACCTGACCTAGGTGGAATGATTGTTTGTCAACTTCTACCTTTTCATCCATTAAAGTGCTCATAGGATAAGCACTCAACTATAAGGTCAGTTTGAACAGTAAGGTCGGAAGTTCAAACTCACCAGCTGTTCCTTGGAAACCCTATACAGCATTACTATGAGTCTGAACTGACTCAAGAACATTTAACAACCGAAAGTGCTCATTAGTCGCCTTGGATGAAGTAGGAAGCCCCAGTTTCTGTTGTGTGTTATCAACAACTCTGATAAAGTAGTGAGTCAACAATGAGATTGTTACCTTGACTAAAGATGACTATAAAGTTTTAACCAAGTGGGTATCTGGACTCCCTGTTGGGGCTACAGAGATCTGAAGGCCAGTCACGTGTTGGGAGTGAAAAGGCCACCCCAGTGCATGGCAAGTCCCCCCACCCACCTCTTGTCTGTTGTGCAGGTGCTCCTCATCCTGACTGCCCTGCAGCCCTCTATTTTCTCAGTCTTGGCCAGTGTCGGGCAGATTGCTTGTTCACCTCCCCTCTCCTCTAAAATCAGGTCTCAAGGTAAGCACAGAGCAATCCTGTTCCTTTCTTGGATGGGGGTGGGAGGGATTTGCGGGAAGTGGGAGTCAGGGAAGAGAGGACCTTAGATCTTGGGCCAGCCTGACTTCTGCTGTGATATTCAGGAATATCAGCAGAGGGTTTAAGACGATAATGACTACTCTGATCACCTGCAGGACAGCTTAACCCCAGAGCATCCGACAGTCCTCAAGGCCAACTAAGGGAGCCAAGGGCTCAGTGCTCAGCTGCGGGTGGGGGAGAAGAGTGGGTATGCTTGGGGAACAAAAGGTCTCACTGATACAATAGGAAATGGGACCCTAAAGTGGAGAGCCAAGCTCTAGTTCTGACTTTACTGTTAACTTTGGTTACTGATGACATGCTCTAGGTACTGGTTTGGGGATAAGCTAGAGAAAGCGTTGAACTCACATGCTAGAGCTGCTAGTGGGATACCACCTCTGTATGTTAGCATAAGCTACGTTATGTTTCACCCCACACTGCAGTGATGAATTGCCACCTGCTTGTACTGGAGAGTTTTCTAATAACGGTGTTGACACGAATGTACTACCGGAGGAAAGACGACAAGGTTGGGTACGAGCCTTTCTCTTCTCCAGACCTGGGCTTAAACCTTGAAGCCTGAGGCAGATGGACAATGGAAGAGACACTGTACTCTTAAAGACAGCACATGATTCCTTCACTGACCCTGAATCTTGACCAAATGGAGAAGGATTCCCATTGTCAGCACAAGCTGGCAGGGATCTGCTGACTATAAAGATGAAGGTGAATTATGCAATGGGGTGAGACTGTTTTGGATCTTGCTTGGGGAAACTATTTTAAGTTTTGTAATAAACAAACAGGATGGAAATCTATCATATGGGACACTGCCTCTGTGGGTGGCACTTATTAGCCCTTACACCTTGCACATTTAGAAAGGTCACAGTGAGCTTTCCAAAAGCCAATGAAAAAGAGTATATGGTGTGTGTCTGGTATAAGAGCAGGAGAGCTTAGCCAGCCCAAAGTCCTCAAGACATCATGGTTCTGGAGAAGAGCTGGAAGGTGGCCTTGCCCTTACAGATGTGTCATTAGAGCACTGATCACATTCAGCCTGGGAAATCTGGATCAACCTTGCTTTCTAAGGAATGGCTTTTTGAGTCCTCTGTGACAAGCTGCAAAAGGAATCTCCAATAATACAGTCAAGGGCTTGATTTTTGAGGAATTAAGACATAAAAGCAAAAGAATTAAGAACAAAGGTAAAAGCCCCAAATTTATAAAATATAACATCCACAGGTATACCAGGTAAAACCCACAAGAAAGACAACATTATCATTTATTTGGCTAAAATAAGTCTGAATGAGTACCATTGAGACTGGAGAACAGTACACTATCACTAACTAAGGAAGAAGTCCGGATGCGGTGCTGTACGACAACCACAAGGTTAGCAGGTCAAACCCACCAGCTGTTCCTCAGAATTCCTATTCACCTGTTAAGGTGCTGGACTGAAAAGTTAGTTTGAACTGCAACGTTGGCAGTTCAAGCTCACCAGCCGCTCCTCAGAAACCCTATACAGGATCACTATGGGTCAGAACCAACTCAACAGCACTTAACTACAACAACATGAGTCAAATCAACTGTCAAGCACTTAACTAAAAACTTTCCTGTGGATTCAGACATTGGTGATGAAGCAGGCATTCATGCCAAGGCCAGTATTTCTTTTATACTTTTTCTTTTGTTAAGGATCCTCAATAACAACTCAGGTCTCCATGTTCAAACAGTCAGTGCCTTCCAAAGAAGAAAGGGGGTGGGGGGGTGGGGGGGAGACATGCCCACTTGAAAGGAATACAACCTGAGGCGTTCTGGTTTAGCATTTAGTGTTAAATCCAGCACTTTTGTTTTCTACTCCGGTATGAGTACTAATATAAAGCTTCGGCAGACAGAAAATCTTTTTTAATTTTTAAGAAAATTAACATTCATTAGTATAATCCCAAGAACATATTCTACTTATTTATTTGGAAAAATAGAAGGTAGGGACCAGTCTTCATCCCATGACAATCTATTTTATGAGAGAAAACAAGAACAATCATTATCATGACTTCGAAAAATATAACTTTTGAAAATACTTACATTGGTAAGCTTAAAAAAAATACCATTAGTTCAAAACATTGTTATTAGTTCTCTCTGTATTGGTTTAACTCCTGGTGAGAGTGTACACTGACAGACAATTTAGGAAGCTATGGCTTTGGGTGGAAAGCAGCAAAATATAATTACTTAGGATAGATTTTAGATAAGGATTAAAAAGGCAATGAGCTCCAGAAAGCTAGTAACTCACAGGTGAAGTTAACCCAGAAATAATGAACGCACTGAAAACCACTGTGGAGGGGAACTCAGGTCATCAGGAAACGTCAAAAAGCTATTTTGACCTACCTTCTATTTTTTTCTCCTCTTCAGGATTTCTAACCTCCTCTCATCCCCAACTTCCTCAAAATGTTGGTCTTTGGCTTAGCTCTCAGAGGCAGCTGCAGTAGTGCAAACTGTCCATTTCCTAGTTCTCTAGGAAGTTTCGACCTGTAGGCTTCAGGGCTCCTAAGTTTAGTGTCTGGAAAAAGCAAACTTTCTGCCCAGCCCACCAGGAGGAAACTGCCCCAGGGCTTCTGTCTCCAGGCTCTTCCTCTCCTGCAGAGAGTGGCTCCTCAGGCCCACTGCTTTCTGGTGTGGGACCCGGACAAACAGTCCCTTAGTCTCAAACATCTGTATCTGGAGAGTTATAGAGCACAGGCATGGTTGTAGTGTGCAAATCTCTTACCTCATTTCATTTAGGTACACAGGAGCAAATAATGCATCATTCCAACAGCTTCCTTTACCCAACCACCCTCCATGTCCAGGACCTAGGATTCACATTTATTCCAAGGAATCGAAGAGGCCACACCATAACAGATTTTGCCTTTAGTAAAACTTATTTGAAACTATGATAGTGTTATGGGAGTGAGGCACTGGAGACTTGCCAAGAGGGGCAAGACGGTCTTCCCAGAGCATGTGTGGATGCTGAGCCCAGCAGTCAGGCTGTACGGGTGGGCCCCTGACAGCAGTGTCTGCATGGAGGAAGAGCATACCCTGGTCAGCTCCCTTTTCAAATACTCGGGAAACATGTACACTTGAGGGCAAGAGTGGATGGGCTTGTGTGGTAGCTTCATTGCCTTTCTGTGCAGAAATTAGAGAGCAGTCTCCAAGAGGAAGGCCCAAAGCAGAGAAGTTAAAATCTGTGATCCCATGATGCTGGCTAAAATGAGAAAACATGAGCTGTGTCAAAGACAAGATTCCAGGAGAAAGCACATGTGAAGCAGATTTGATAGGAAAATAGCACTTCATGAGAAGAGTGATAAATGGGGTTCTCAGAGAGCATCAGGACAAGAGGTTTGCCATCTCTGCTTCTCGAGGTGGTCTGGGCTTTAGTAACTCTAGCCTCTGACCCTCAGGCAGACAAGCAGCTTTTACCTGAAAGTGTTCATAGGATGGAGACGATGGGATGCTCACAGCCCTAGCAGAGGGGCAAGAAAAGATAAAATGTGGTTTTCTTAACTGAAAACACTAACACTCCACCCCCACAAGGGGTATTTATGAGTGACAGGGGTTATGGGGCCTAGACAAAAGAATTTTCCCCTGAACTTAGCTACAAGGTTACTGATGATTGGTGATATGCAGTCAGATAGCTGAGGAGATAGAATGCTCAACAGCACAGTGTTAAACATCGGCATTCTTTGATGCCAACTTCAAGCAGCGAGGTCCCTTAGGCAACCTAACATAAGTGGGACCACAACCAACAGCCGCCAATGTAAGGGAGCAAGGCAGCCATACTTTCCTGACGTAACCCATGCTTTGTAGCCTGGAGGCGGAGTGGTGGAGGAATTCCCTGCCAACCACAGAGGAAAAGAAATCCTCCGTGGAGTCCAGAACGTCTTTAAAGGGGGAGAGGTTTCCTTAGGCTGTATCTTGAGGTTCTGTGCAGAATTCTTTCAGCGTGGCCACGAGCATGGAGATCTAACAGACTGTATTCCAACTATAGACACTGGCCAAGAATCCTTTGTAAAAAGTTAGGTGGTCACAATAAAATGGGAGTACCGAGGCCAACAAAAATTTGGGAATACCCCAAAAAAATGGGAGTACCCCCCAAAAGAATTAATGAAAATGAACTTTCTATAGGATTAAGCATAGTCCTACTCCCCTCCTCAACTAACAGTAACCTTAAAATTGTTTGAAAAGATAGACAAGGGCTCCCAAATAACTGGGCAACAGAGTTTTCTGAGAAGATGAACACAGCAGAAAAACCACAGCTACTGCTATGTGGGTGGACCACGCCCCTGTGTCTTCCTGACCCCACTGGGTCCAACAAGAAGCTCCTCAGAGAGTAAGAAAAGTTAGGCTCAGGTCTCCTTCCCGCAGCCACACTGACACACTGTGCCAGCAATACTTTTAGGGATTCGGGGACTGCAACCACTCAGCTTTTAGTGTAGAAGTAAGAATGATGATAGTCTCCCCACCCCCAAACCACCCATCAACATGGCTCATTGCTGGAAGGACTTGGCAAGTCAGCTGGCTTCCCAACAGGAGGCAAACACTGTAGTGTCAGAAAGGCAAGGCCTCTGTGTTGTCGCATCAGTTCCTCCTCCAGCCTTCGCCTCTGAGGCAAAGCACTAGTTCTACTTACTATATTTGAAAGACTAATTCTTTTTTAAAAAATTAATAAAAATGACAAATTCCCTGTCGAGATCACATGAACACAAATCGTAAAGCAAAGTCCTTGGGGTGGGTAGATGGATGCAGAACAAGCTTCTTAGGTGCAGTCAGCCGCCTTCTTCTCCGTGGGGATGGCTGATGCCTCTTGGAGAAGGTCCGTTGGTGCCTCCATCCCAGGTCCTCTTGCCCCGATATGCTCTCCTCTGTAGCTATCCTTGGGTTTAGTGTTGGGATCACAATTTAGAGGTCAGCAGAGAGCTTCTGAAGGTGATGAGACAGAGGAAGAAGAGAGGAGAAACAGGATGGGAAACTAGTCCTCTTCATCCTCACTGATATCATAGGCTGCTGCCTTGCGCCGGGAGAGGTTTGCTGGGGAGGAAGGAGGGGATGTCTTGCCAGAGAAGGGCCATCGGAAAGAGGGAGATGGGGAGCGTTCACGAGTAGGGCTGCTGCTGGGACTCTGCTTTGGACTGATGGCCTGCAGCATCCGGCCTTTCCCCTCTTTCAGCATATGTTTCTGAGGAGCCCAAAAGGAAGAGTTAGAAGAAAGCTGTGAACCCTACTAAATCATCACTAAAGTGCTCCTGCAATGTTAAAAGTGACCACATAAGCCAGGGGAGGGACCTAGCTATAGTTCTAAGCAATTTCCTCTTTACAGTGGTCTTTGCTCTATTACTTATTGAAGGGTTCCCATCTGCTACCCACAGTCACCAAATCCTTGACTTCTATGTGGAAGGAAGTCTTATAAAGCTCCTTAGTCTATCACCTGGGGTCCAAGCAGAACAAAGGAACTAACCAGACTAAAGCTGAAGTTCTTTGAAAAGGAAATTCCATGTTCTTCCTGAACAGCCTATGAATTCTAGTATTCAAACAGCTGAAGAGTCAAATCCTTCCTGGCACAGAATCTAGAATTCCCTTGCTAAAGAGCTACATATACACCTTTATTTGGTTTGAAAATACTTTATTGCTCCTTAAGGACAGAATTCCCACTTTACCCAGGGACCCTGCAGCAGCTGTTTGTAGTGGAGGCAGCTTCCTTTCTACTATTCTTTATTCTTTCCTTTCGTCTTATCGAAAACTCCAATCTAGAAGAGCAAGCCTTATCATGCCACCACATACAGAGCTGGGAGACGGATTTAGGAGACTGTGCAATCTCTTTGTGTAAAGATTTTTAAAAACTTTTGTGGGCTAGCTGAAATATTTTTAGGTCCAGATATGAGGAACAGATAAATAACTACTTGATGTCTATGTCCTACGAATTGGGCTGCTAACCTCAGGGTCAGCAGTTCCAAACTACCAGCTGTTCCACGGGAGAAAGATGTGGCTTTCTGCTCCCTTAAAGATTTACAGCCTCGGAAACCCTGTTACAGGGTCGCTATGAGTTGGAACCAACTCCATGGCAAACAACAACAACAACCCTAGGTTAGAAATGCCCTGAATTATCCATCAGGGAAGAACATACCAGCGCTCCTTCTGGTCCAAACATTTCCAGGAAGCTTCCAATGAATTCTCGTGATTTCTCTTCCCATTTCTGAATGAGATCAATGCTTTTCTCCTCCACCTTCTGAACAAACTCTTTTGATTTTTCTTCCACGTCTTTGACTTTCCTCTTTACTTTGTCAACCCTCTCCTGCAAGTGGTATTTTTTCTCCTAGGCAAAGAAATAAGCTGGTTTGAGAAATAATACTTATCTTGAACTTCCTTACCAAAAAGGGAGAAAAAACATGGCTCAAACACTCTATTACTTGTTCCAGTCTTTAGCATTTCACCTTGCTTTAATCTATGTACACTTCATGAATGTACTAACAGGTATGCTGGACTCTGGGGTCATCTTATAGAAGAGTGTGACATGAATAATATTGTGGGAGCCCAGGATTAAATCTGGGCTCAGTATGTAGGGAAGGCCCAATAACAGGCATACAATCAACCAAGCCAGCCTTCTTAAGGCAAAGAAGTATGGAACATAAACATGCCCAACATGACCCAAATCCCACTTTCAAATGGAGGAGGAAGGGTAGTGATGAGACCGCTGTATGATATTGCTAAGAAGTCAGCTACAATCGTTGAAACTGCGAGGATTGGACTTCTAAATTACTTTCGTCATTAATTCATTTATTGTATTAGATTTTTGTTGTTGTTGTTGATTTGTTTGTTTGTTTTTGTGTGGTTCTTTTGATATTAGAAAGTCCATTTGCTCTTTCCTAAAGAAAAAGGAATATGGTATGAATCCTCTGGGAAGAAAATGATTAGTCAAATGAAAAGTATTCTCACAATTTCCAAGTCAAAAAGGGGAAAGAACAGGAGTAAGTTTATGACTTTTAAACACTAGAATCTTAATGGAAAAATAGATAAAGATTTTGAAATAGGTGATAACAGCTGCTAGGTTTTACATACATATATAAATCATATTTAAATGGCAATATTTCACTTAGAACATCATTCACAGGGCTGGGAGTAGGTGAGGGAACATAGTAAATAGTAAACTACTTACATAGAAGATACAGTTAGCAGTTTATCTTTTTAAATCAACTTTATTAGGGTGTCATTTATATGTAAAATGTATTATGGTTTATTTCTAAAAGGTGATATCAATCTTTCATAAATCAGATTTAACTTAGGTCCATGAACCCTAAAAAACTGCATACAAAAACATTGTGTGTAGCTATACACACAGGGAAACCCATAGCTTTCATCAGATTTCAAAAAAATCAAAAAAAGCCGAGAACTACTGTTTTAAGTGTATTTGACAGTAACTCAGCACTAGGTAAGGTACACATTCTTTCATTTAACTGGCCATGTGTCCTTATGTCAATGTCAATGTTGATACTAGACCACAGGGCAGAAACTGCCTCTAGTTTGTTCGCTTTGCAAAGAACTTACTGTAGCGTTACAGGCAAGGAGGCATTTACTGAGCTTTCTAGGTGATGAAGGAACTCTGGTAGCAGAGTGGGTTAAGTACTGGGCTGCTAACCAAATGGTTGGTGGTTCAAATCCACCAGCTGCTCCACAAAAGAAAGAGATGTGGCAGTCTGCTTCTGTAAAGACTTGTAGCCTTGGAAACTCTATGGGACAAGTCTCTTTCCTATGGGGTCACTACAGAGTCAGAATTGACTCAGTGACAGTGGTTTTGGATTGGGGATGATAATTACACTAACTGAAAAGCAGACTCAGCTCTGATGGAGTGGAAGGCCAGCCATGCCCTGCAGGGCCAGAACTCACATTGATAAAGCTGACATTGAGTTCCTTAGCCGTGTAGCCCCTCTGTAGATTCCTCCTCGCATACACATCATAGTCCCGGACAATGCGAGTAATGATGTCTGACGTGGAGATACCTTCTGTCCTCTGTGTTGGAGCAAACATGCCTAATAAGAATACACATAAAGACAGACAAACATTGTAAAATCTGGTTAGCACAGGCAGCAGAACTAGATGGAAACTGGAAACAATATTCCTTTCCTTTCCTCAAAAGTAGAAGTGATGTCTGAAAGATACTGACATTCAAGACGAGGAATGAATCAAAGACTAAGGGGAAAGAAAGGAGAAGTTATAAGGCCCTAATATTAAGGGAGAGAAAATATAGAATGGGGAATGGATTTCCTAAAGTTAAAAGAGATATCAAAGTGGTTGCTCTCAGACAATTGAGAATTGACAGATGTCAATGCTATTCTTAGCTTTATCTCTTTATTCAAAGTATGACCTGAAAGAGGATGCTGAATTTCTCGATACACAGTTTTTCCTCTGTAAAGTAGTGATATGGCAGAACTGCTGTAGCTGTTCACGAGGTCCCACCAGGTGAGAATGCACATCAGCTTACTCACCTGCTTCCTTGATGTGCCTATAGACATCATCACTTCCAGCAGAAGAATAAGGGATGTCATCATGGGCTACAAAATCAATCTGAAAATAAGGGAGCATGATTTAAAGCCAGAAAATGGCCACTCAGAAAGAATCACTCAATATCACCACGTCCAGAAAAAGGTCGAAAAGTAGAGGTCAGGCCTCAAGTTACTTTTTTTCCATTTATATTGCCTTTTACTTTGCTCCTAAATTCCATGACTCTTTCACAAACCACCCAACCTGGTCATTTAAGGATTGTAAATATCAATGAAGTTACTCAGTTTCCTTTTCAGCTATTTCTACTGGCCAAGTCCAAGTGCTCTCTTCTCACTGTAGACCAGTCACCATACAAAATAAGTAAGGTGGAATGATTTGCTGGGGAGCCAGCAAGTGGGCAGGGCCTAGGAAAGAAGACAGGAAATCTCCCCACCTACTGGGCCTATAAGGATTGGCCAAACAAAGTTTCTGAAAGTATGAGAAAGATGTCACTTCCTTGTTCAACTGGTTACTTAGCTCATAAGACAGGTAGGGGAAAAAAAAACCCAAGAGCCCTTTTGCTAGAATAGATACATCTGTATTCCTGAGAAACACAAAACCCAGAATCTATCATTTTGCTATTGTCAATATGACTTGCAAGGGTAAGAAGTGATAATAAGGTGCATGGGTCAATAATCTTTAAGACAGACATGCTACACCGGACTTACTTTCTCCTTCCTGAAAAGATCTAATACAATGGTGCATACCAACAGACCCAGCTCCCAGAAGCCACTGTAGTGTAGCACGTTTATTGGGACTGTATCAGAGACTTTCATTTAACATCTCAACTTCCCATAATAGCTTGTCAGGGATCCACAGGCAGCAAAGTAAAAATAATTGCGGCAACCACGAGTACTGACTGAGGATATACTGCTAACAAAGAAAAGGTTAGCCAGAAGTTCCTTCAGCTACCCACTCCTGTCTGGGGTCTGCCTTGCTGTGTCAGTGAAAACATCTTGCTCATCATCTATGTGCTGGTGTAGAAAAGCTAGAGAACAGCACACTCTTACTGAGTACCACACCAAGTTGATTTTGACTCATAGCGACCCAATGCGACAGTAGAGCTGCCCCACAGGCTTTCCCAGGCTGTAATCTGTATGGGAGCAGATCACTAGGTCTTTCTCCTGCAGTGCTGCTGAGTGGGTGCAAACCACCAACCTTTTGGTTAGCAGTCTAACACTTAACTGATGTGCCATCAGGGTTCCTTAGAGAACTATAGCCCTATGCCTGTCCTAATTGTAAATTGCAGTCCTGGTATAGCACTGCAGAGTAAGCACTGGAATGTTAACTACAAGGTCAATGGTTCAAACCCACCGGTCACTTCTCAGAAACTCTATATAGGGTCACCATGAGTTGGAACCGACTCAAAAGAACTTAACAACAAAGACAATCCTAAATAGATGAAATAATTAAGCCCTAGCTTCAGCCCTATTTTAAATATTGTTTTAAAAGCACTTTGTTGTTAGGTGTCACTGAGTTAGCTCCAACTCGGTGACCCCATGCACAACAGTATGAAACTCTGCCTAGTCCTGTGCCATCTTCACAATCAGTCCTATGTTTGACCCATTGTGGCAGCCACTGGTTCAATCTATCTCATTGGGAAACTTTCTCTTTTGTTTTCTGACCCTCTGCTTTACTAAGCACTTGTCCCTCATAACATGTCTAAAGTTCAAGAGACAAAGTCTCGCAAACCTCACTTCCAAGGAACATTCTGGCTATACTTCTAAGACAAAAGGCACCTTGGCTACCTTTTTTCTTTCCTTCCTCATTCAACAATCCACATGCTACACATCCCTTTAGAGAACAGAATGAAATGTTTGCAGGTTTCTCAAGCTTGAGACCCTCCAAACTGGCATGATTAATCCTCATCTTTTATTATCTATTATAGGAAACCTGTTGTTTTAATGTAGGAAAATTAAAAGTACAGGGTTTTATTACACAAATTCACTAGTAAAAGTGAGAAATATTACTGATTTCTGATCCCACATAAATTCTAGCCCCAAATCAAAAGCCCTCACTCAAACTCAATTTGAGTCAACACAAGAAAGAAAGGCTCAACTTTCAGCCAAGTAATAGACAGGTCTATAGGATGTACAGTAACACCAGGGAACTAAGAACTCCTTAGAACAGCCAACCATAGGAGATCAAAAGGGCAGCATTTGCTCAGGGACAAAACGCAAAAGGCTAGAAAGGACAGGAAAGAAAGACAAAGGGAAACAGTCAACACAGAGAGGAAATGGAAAAAGTTAGTACATTGTGGGGACTGAAATCAATGTCAGGAAATAGAATGTGTATCAATTGTTGAATGAAAAACCAATTTGCTCTGTAAAAGTTTTTTAAAGATCTATGGCTGGCTGTCTGGTCTCCTGGTATGTGAATATCCTGAAAGCATGGCTCGGGCTAAATACATTCTAAAGAGACTGGGCTGCTGTGAGGGCGGACACAGATACAGTGGAGGAAAAACTGAAGAGTTCAGTTCAATTATGACGACGATGTGACTAGGAGCAAGTTATTTGGTCTCTGTGGGTCTTGTTCCTCATCCGTTACTTGGAAATAATAAGTACCTAGGAGAGGGGGGCAGTGCAAATGAAATATAATAGACATAAAAGTGTTTGTAAACCATCAGACCTCACATAACTGTCAGAGATGACAACTACTAGCAGCAATATCACCATTGTAACGTAGTAGTTACAAATCGGGCTGCTAACCTCAAGGTCGGCAGTTCGAAACTACCAGCTGTTCCACGGGAGAAAGATGAGGCTTTCTGCTCCCATAAAGATTGACAGCCTTGGAAACCCTGCACTATGAGTCAGAACCGACTCCACGGTACTTAACAACAACAGATGTGAAACTTACAAAGAAGGTGAAGGTGAAGAGCTAGTGGTATACTAGTGCAAGTACCAGAAGCCTTGAGAATTGAGGGGATTCTGGAATAAAGAATGGGACGTGGCATCACAGTTTCTTACCTGGTGTTCTGCCAGAAACTCAGGAGTCAGGGTCCAGGGGGCATTCCTGACCACCTCATCCACATAGCGACAGTGCTGCACGGCATCGTAGCGCTCATTTTCATTCATCACTGTGAAGCCTTTGAAGTTGTGCGTCAGCTCATCACTGCAGACTGAATTCATCACAACATTAAGTTGTAAGCCAAGGCCCCCTATGCTTACTACTACCCAGTCACCAACCTCTCCCATTTTCTCCTACTTCCTAGGACTGCAACGATCCTCCCTTATCTGGATGTAGCTCAATCCAGGTTACAATGCTTTCCCTAATCTAAGATACCCCGTCAGGAGTAACACTCACAAAGACAGTATGCTCACATTTTAGAGAAGCACAGGGCACTGAGGTTTTGATTTTGATATGAAATGGCTGTGCATTTCTGCAACAATTAAATTATCTCAAATGGTAAACTGGAATCTAGAATGCATGCTGTTCTTAATTAGGCGACAGGAGTCAGTGTAGTTCCCGCGACTGCAGAAACCAGCTAACAAGCAGTGTGGTAAATACTAGACACCTCATACCAATGAGGCCTAAACCAATGAACTCTCCAGGTGGAGGGTGCCAGCACCTCATACGTTTCACACGACAGAGAAACTGTACTGTATCATTAGTTTAAAAATGGAAACAAAGGCCAACACACTCAGGTTATAAAAACAGGAGAGAGCAAGATCTCTATCAACCTTTTCTGGACAGACAGCACCTAAAGTCATCATCTGTTTCCTTACCTCCCACAATGAGGTATGTATTGGGGAAAAGGTTCTTTGCTTGCATCAGAGCTCGGGCATGACCAGAGTGAAATAAGTCAAATATTCCATCTGCATAAACTCTCACAGGCCGTTCATCTAAAACCAAAGAAAGGAATTTATTACATAAATGCATTTATTCAATACCTCTGATTTGACCAATGGAACTGGCATTGTGTGGCCATCCGTGCCTGGGCACAGTTCTCTGAAGATATTGATTTAGGGGTGGATTCGAGTTGTGAGGCATACCACAGACTTCCTTGGGCAAAGACCCTCCTGACATCCTCTCTGCTGACTCCTTCTGCTAGCCTGGTTGTCTCAAACTGCTCAGGTAACAAGATTTCATTAATGCTTTTTCTTGAAGTTAATTTAGAACTAGTGAAAGGACAAAATAATATAACAGGTAAGTGCTGAACTTCATAATCCTTACCTTCAGTTTATGTGCAAACTTCCTGCTCTAATCTGGCTGCTCCATCTCTCATTTCAAGGTGCCTTGATTACTAAAGATAATGCTCTGCTTTGAAAACAAACCTCCCTACGATTATGCTGACAGTAGGGGTGAGACAGAAGGATGAGACTGGAAAAGAGGGAAGGGAAGTAGCCTAGTGAACCAGTTATCAATTTATTGCTTCTCAGCTCCAATTCACCCTTCAAAATCTGTCCTGTGACAGCAAACAGCATTCCTTTAAGCATTTCTCTTCATAGTGAGCAGCATGATGCTAAGCTTTCACAATGGAGGGTGGTACATAAAAGTATTTGAAAACCAAATCTAAATACTTCAAAACTTTCCATTACTCATCTCCCATTTCTCTCTTCCATTTGTGAGAATAATAAAGAGAACTGGCTGCCAACTTTTAGTAGCAATCTAGGCCTACAAAAGAGAAGCCAGGAAATAATCTCTTGTGGTACAAAACTAGTTTCAAAGTCAAATAACACAGTAAAGATGAAACTGACATAATAGATCATCATGTTTCAAATGATACAGCTAAAGAGTTCTACTTATTCCGACTATGTGAGTAAAGAAAGTTATTTCACTGAGACAGCAGAAAATAACAGTTGTAACATCAATTTAGGAAGGAAGTGTTGCACACAGTCTCTTCTGATATACCATACTTGGTGTGGAGTAAGGCCCAGTCCCTCCTGTCTGGAGAATAATGAATCAGGGAATAAGAAAATGCTTCTCAGGAGGTTATGGACTTCTTGTTTCAGGCACATTTATCCACAGACAAGTAACTTTTAAACCAAGAAGTCAAGCATTGCTGATACAACTTCTTAAGAATGGCAAATAAGCAATATCTACTGAAAGACAAACAACAAATGCGCATACCCTTTGTCCCAGCAATTACAATTCTAGAACTTTATCTTGATGATATACTTGTAAATATGCAAATATGGAGTCCTGGTGTGGTGCTGTAGGATAGGCACTGGAGTGCTAATCATAAGGCCAGAGTTCAAACCCACAAGTTGTTCCCTGGAAATGCAACACAGGGTATCTATGAGTCAGAACCAACTTGATGGCACTTAACAGCAACATATACCAGTTAGTCATTGCAAAATTTGGAAATAACCTAAATTTCAGTGATAAGACTAGTTAAATATATCATGATACAGCCACTAAAACTATAGAAGCTATTTTCTTAGATATTCACAAGAAACTTAATACTGGTTGCCTCTAAGTGGGTGAGTCTGACTCAGATGAAGACACTTCACTCCATACACTTTTTATCCTTCTGAATGTTCAACCATGAGAACGCCTTAATTTTGTAATACAGGAAATAAAGTTTAAAATAAAATACACCAATACAATGAAAAATTGAGAAATAGTAAAACTGGATTTAAGAGTCAGAAAGGATTTCAGTCCAATTTGCCAACCAACTCACTGCCTGTGTGGCTATAACTTCTTTAAGGCCCCGTTTCCTCGGCTACAAACCAAACCAAATCAGAGGAGTCTAATTCCTCTTAGACATCCTAGAAATCAAAGGATGGAACATAAAACTAAGACTATTTGCTGTTGTTTTCTTGGTATTAGACAGTGTACAGTGAGGATAAACTGAAGTGAGGGAGATTTGGCTCAGTATACACATTTCCTGGGTGGGGGCAATAGCACAGAACACTGTTGACAGGGTGACTGTGTGCCAGTTAATCGTCCCTGTTAGGCCAAGTGTGTTGTCACTGAATCTTTTTTGACAAACTGCAGATGTGTCTCTTCAATGTTTCCTCAGCCTTCCTCTCCCTTCAATCCAGTATCTCCATTCCCTACCCTTTAACCATAAAATCTTTGGCAAACCCAGGCTGGTATACCAATTAACCAAATGGCCAGAAGAGGTCACTGTTGAACCAGGAAGCCTGGGAAAGAAAGCAAGAATAAGCCATTCTTTACCAAGTGGCTTTTGGCCAGGATGCTACATCCCTCAGTTGAGGCCTGTTATCTCAGGGTTTAATTAGTAGCCGTCTCTTTTCAATCTCAAATTGTCCTGATTTGGATCCTATATTATATGGCCATACTATAGATGGCTAAGTAACTAGCTGTCCTCCTTTAGGCAGAACAGACCTAGGTTTCAACTCATTGTCTCTTTTGGTGTATTTTCTCAAATAGCTACCACAGAAACATTTTATCCTTAGCAGAGTTTCACTGCCCTTCAATTCCCCTATTTTCTTCCTTTCTCTATTTGTAATAAAACATACTGCTTCCCATCCACCTCCATTTTGCAAAGCTCATCTCATCTCTCAAGTCACGTTTGCTTTTTACTTGGGTAGTTTTCTCCTAAATTATACCATCTTCCCTCTTCAGCTTCCTTAACCTCCCCAGTGAAAACCTCTCCTACTAGTTGTTGTCAGTTGCTGCTGGGGTGCTTCTGGGTGGGTTTGAACCACCAACCTGTGGCTATTAGTTGAGTGGCTTAACCATTTGCGACACCCAGGGACTCTTATCAGTTACTAGTTTAAAATTCACTGGTTATGAAATGCATAGGTTTTTAATGTTTTAGTCCTTGTTCTTTACATGAAGGTAGTCAGTTATTTAGCATTTAACATAAAATGGAACAGAGATAATGAGCTGTAAGGAAAAAGAGATATCATATTAAAGCAACAGACTTCATAAACTACTGTGTGACTCTGTTCAACCTGAAATGCAAACACTTTGCCAATGGCCTACTATTGTTTATAACTAAAGCCTCTAAAGACCGGCACCATTATGGAGTGAAAAGAACACAGGAATGGAGAGACCTAGGTGTTAGCTCCAATTGTCTATCACTAATTTCTGATTTATTGTATGGGAACCTTCACTTCTCTGTTTCCATGGACCTTAAATTTTCTCATATATATAATGAAGCGACTAGAAAGTAGATTATCATAAAGGTTACATAAATTTGTAAGATTCTATTATTCTAAATTCAAAATATTTTTAATTTATTAATTAGCACTTTATTAGTGATAAGCTTCAGAGCTTAGGAACAACACACTTTCAACTTCTGTGTGTCACATGGTGTGGCACTGTGGATTATACGCTAGACTGCAAAATTGGTTTGAACCACAAGGTCAGTTTGAACCACAAGATCAGCGGTTCAAGCTCACCATTCGCTCCTAGGAAATTCTGTACTGGGTAGGAACTATGGGTCAGAAACAACTCGACAGCACACACATGTGTCACAAAAGGGCTGAGGATAAACTATCAATAAGCTGAATGAAGTACTAACTTCCATACGTATGTTATTAGAGAACACGTAAAAAGTTCTTGTCTTCAACAGGCTCTGTGGTCACATCTGAATGTGACCCTTGAACTGTCTGTTAGCAATTTGAAATTCAATCTGCAGCCATTATACCTTTACATTGTTGATGTTGTTGTTGCTGTTAAGTACCATGGAGTCGGTTCCAACTCATAGTGACCCTGCACATGGTTTCCGAGGCTGTAAATCTTTATGAGAGCAGAAAGCCTCATCTTTCTCCCACGGAACGAGTGGTAGTAGACCGATTCGTAACCACTATGCTACCAGAGCTCCTTATATACAGCCTTGGTATGTCCAGATCTATTCTTGTCATCATCTTATCGTGCTCTATAAACCTCAAGTAATCCTATCATGAACAGAAGGATTGTGATCAGCACATGCAACTCTAAACTTTTTTGTAAAAGGAATCTGGAATTGACTTTTCTTTTTGAAGACAGATTGCCAGAGGTCTTAGGATCCTTAGCCTGATATTGTCCAGCATCCATTTCTGTTTGCATGTCACTAGTCCTCACTTAAAACAGAGAGCACAGTAACGTACTAATACAATGCAGAGCTAACCACAAATACTCCCTATACACTGAAAATGTACTCATCTGTAGCTATAACTGCTTTTATTCCTGATGCGTGCCTGAGTCAAAATCCAGATCTACATTTACAAAGTAGAGAGAACACTCACTAGAAGAACAGAAGAATTGAAAAAGTACTAGAAAAAAGGGGAGAATTGGAGAAGTAGAATAGCTGTCAATAGGATTTTATAATCCTAACAAATACTCATGGAAGTGTTCTATTCATAATGACCCCTAAAACCAATTTCCCAAGGTTAGGAAGGCACCTATAATAGAATGTTACTGTTATTGTTAAGTGCCATCAAGTCGGTTCCAACTCATAGCGACCCTGTGTAGGATTTTTAAGGAGTAGCTGTTGAGTCTGAACTGCCAACCTTGCCATTTAAACTGACTATGTGGTCCAGGGCCCATCCTACAGCGCCATATACTGATCATTTATATGGCTTTAAAAATTGCTACCTCATGATATGGGAGTCCTGGTGTGGCGCTGTGGATTAATGCACTGGACTACAAGGTTGGTTTGAACTGCAATTCTGGTGTGGCGCTGTAGGATCAGCCCTAGACTGCTAACCACAAGATTGGTGGTTGAAACCCACCAGCTGCTCCTTGCAAACCCTACACAGGGTCGCTGTGAGTCAGAACCGACTTGGCAGCACTTAACAACAGCCCTAGCATCATAGCTAGGGTACTGACTGACAGCAGTGGGGCAATTTTGAAGCTGTTAAAAATGCAACAGGTTGACATACTTTTTGACCTTTAAAAAATGAACAACATTACAACCCAGCTCAGTTTACTATCTTATTGTCTCTGCTCACGATATCTCATAGCTATAACAATAGCCTGGGAAGCAAGTATGTAATAATAAAAAGAAAATTACAATGCCTGGAGTTAAGTTATCCTCCCAAACAGTAAAGTAAAAGGGATGAGTACCCTCCCACAACTTGCAACACAAGGGAAGAATATAGGGAGTGGATATATATTTGGTAAATAAAAGGCATGTATTTTGTAAATAAATATAACCCGATGACAAAAATAATAGTAAAACAACAGGCATCTACTTACAAGGAGTTCCTCTGCAGGCTTCTTCCATAGTTACCCTGACATAAGGCTTACTAAAGTCAATTTCAATTTCATCAGAAAAAGGAGCTGGTTCCCGTAAGCCCTTAAGAAAAAAGTAGAGGAAACCAAAGTTATATTCCATGGTACATACTGAAATACTCAAAACATGGCAAAGTTAAAATACAAATGTTATTCAATATGCTGGAATTAATAGTCCTATAAAGCTTCATAACATGAAGAAAGGAAGTAAAAGAAGTACAAGTATTTCAAAATGATAAATGACAATAGCAACCTTTTATAAAATGGGTAAATGAATGGCATGAAAGAGAAATCTCTTGCTGGTGATTTCAGGGAAAGACTCTGAGCCTAAGCCTAGTTCCATTTAACTATCTGGTCCAGAATGAGAACTCCTTTACAGCAAGGCAAAACAGCCAATCCTATACTCTGTGAAGAAGCTGCCAATTTTTAAGTGCATTTTCATACCACTTCAACTAGGAAACTGGGAAGGGAAACAGTTTCTGTGTGCTTTATTAAGTACAATGAATATCGTGCAGTGTTTTATACTGACATATACTCTAATGCTCCTAACAGTACAGTGAGTCCTGTAGCTACTATCCTCAATTTAAAGGAGGAAAATAAGGCTCACAAAATTATATGAATTGTACACCGTAACACTGAAAGCGGTAACACTGAAATAAGAATGGTGGTGGTGGTTATGTGCTGTGGAGTTGGTTCTGACTCATAGCGACCCTGTATAGGGTTTCCAAGGCTGTAAATCTTTACAGGAACAGAAAGACTCATCTTTCTCCCACGGAGCAGCTGGTAGATTCAAACTGCTGAATTTGTGGTTAGCAGGTCAGCTTATAATCCACTACGCTACCAGATCTTCTTGCTCCCACTATACATGACCTTACTTAAGTTTTTGTTAAATTTGTTCCTGAATATTTGGTTCTATTTGAATAGAATAGTTTTCTTAATTTTGTTTGGATTGTTTGTTGGTAGTTACATTAGTGCTTTTTTTAAAAAAAACTGCACACATATATTTAACAACGTAGTTTTACACAGAATGCTAAGAGCACTTGCTTCATATTTTACAGAAGAGCTTGAAATAATAAAATTGGAACTGACTCCACGGCACCTAACAACAACTTTAACCACTACATTCATCCCTGTGTCTCCCGCCACCCTCATCTTTCCTCTGCCAACCTCCCTCCAGTTGTATATTGCCTGCCCCATTACCCATGTCAATGCGTCTACCCTCTAGTGCACATATCATTGCTTCCTAACCCCAAGCCATCACAGATTGTTACTTTTATCAAGAAAACCCCCCTCTTTTTTGTTTTTTTGGATATACAAAAAAACAACAACACAAGGATATATAATCGTTTAAATGACCAAAGGGCATATTCTGGAAGCCAGCCTTCTGGCCGCCAGCACACAGCCTTTCTCTTTCCATACGTCTAGAGTCTTCAGCTACTCTGTCTCTTCATGCCATCACCTCTGCCTCCATATCTGGTGTCACTGGTTGGGTCCCACATTCCGTTCATGCTCTTCTCTCTTGATGGTTCTAGAGGCCTTTGTTCCTGGAATGTAAGGTTAACCACTCCCCCCTTTTTGCTACACAACTTCTACCTTTACAGTTGTGACCACTGCAATTAGGTATGATAACAACTACTCGTTATTGATTCAAATGAGTCTTATCTCCATCTCCTTTCATCAGATCCATTTAGACAAGAGGAAAACTATTCAGTGTATATTCTACCTTCCTCTACACACTCTGAAACTAAACTCCCTCTTGAAAACTTGTAAGCCAGCCACTTTGTGCCTTTATAGCTCCCCATCCATTGTCCATTTTTATAATTCTTAATAAATGCTGCTCCCCAGGAAGGTTACAACATATTCAGGCTCTTTCTTAAAAATTTAAAATACTTCAAGCATGCAAAGAAGCACAGAAATAGTATGCCAAGCAATTACTAAGACTCAATTTGTCACACCTTAACAATGTTGATGTGTGTGTGTGTGTGTGTGTGTGTGTGTATTTAGGGATATAATTCACATAACAAAACATTAATTTTAAGGTACACAGTTCCATGGTTTTTAGTATATTCAAAGGTTATTCAACCATCACCACAATTTAATTCCAGAACATTTCCATCACCCAAAAAAGAAAATCCCACATCCATTAAGAAAATATTCCAATTATCCCCTGCCCCCACCAGTTCCAGTAAGTTCTGATTTATTCTGTGTTGTCCAATACTACAGCCACTAGACACAAGTGGCTATTCAAAATTTATGTAATAAGTAGAAACAACTGAAATATCTATCAATGGATAAAGAGATAAACAAAATGTGACCTATCCAGACAATCAAACATTATTCAGTCCTAAACAGGAATGGCCGTGGCACTGTAGGATCAGCATTGGACTGCGAACCACAAGTTCGGAAGTTCAAACCCACCAGCTGCTTCTAGGAAACCCTATAAAGAGTAGCTGTGCGTTGGAACTGACTCAAGGGCACTTAACAACAACAAAAAGTAATGCAGTACTGATACATGTTACAACAGGGATGAACCTTGGAAACATATGTTGAGCTAAAGAAGTCAGACATAAAAGGTTGTATAGTGTATGATTCTACTTATATGCAATCTCAAGAACAGGCAAATCTAAAGAGACACAAAGTAAATTAGTGGTTGCCAACGTGTGGAGGGAAGGGGCAAATGGGGAATGATTGCTTAGTGGTACAGTGTTTCTTTTGGGGGTGATAAAAATATCCTGAAATTAGACAGTGGCTAGGGTTGTACCACATTGTGAATATACTATAAATCACCAAATTATACATCTTAAAATCATTAAAATTCTATCCTTCAAGTGTCCTCTGTTTCTTCAAGTGTCCTCACATACTGTTTATGTTCCAAGGCAGACGGCCGATGCAGCTGTCCTTCCTGGCTATGTTTTATGCTGAATCAATTCCTCGTAAGTATAGAGAAAGAAACCTAAGTTTCTGCAGCTACAACAGATCAGTAAAATCTTTATTTCCCTAGGGTTGCCTCCAGTTAGAATGGGTAGTTGTTTATTCTAAAACCCCTTTCATTTTCTTCTTAGAAAAACTTAGGTTTCTACCTAAAGTTTTCCTAAAACATACCTTCTTCATTTTAACAACAGGGAACCTAAAGTATTGCTTTCAAGACTTCTGAAAATCTGACAGTGAAGTAAGAGGGGACTTCAAATAGTGGGAAAATGGAATAAAAAGGCATGGTTTAGGGTTTGGAAAACTTAGGTCTGAATTTCAATTCTATCACTTAATAGCTGTGAAATTATAGCAAACGTCTGAAGCCTTTGTTTCATCTTGTAGAAAATAGAAGATAATACCTACTCCACAAGGCTACTGTGGGGACTAAATAGCATGTGAAAAGTAACTAGCACAAAATTTCACATATAGTAAGCATTCAACAAATTCAGCTCATCATCAATGTTACTTCATTTACTCTCTTCCAACCTACAGAACAGAAGTTTTACTATGCTGAAATTATTAGCTAATTTTTACTAATCCAAGGCATTAGCTTCTAAGTGACATGTATAATTTATAAATCTAAACATCTAAATATGATAAAATAATAATCATGATTACCCAAAAGATAAATTCGCTTTTAAGTGTAAGGTTTCTTTCATAACAATTACTTTCAAAATTTCAGTGAAACAGAAGATATGGTGTTCTTACTAGTAAGGAAATGGAGACAACTCAGAATGAAACTAGAACTTGCAACTGGCTCCCCAGTACTCTTTGTCCTCTCCAAGGATTCTAATTTTTTAGGAAAACATTCCAGTATGCTACATAGAAACATTTTTCTTTCACCCCAACATTCTGTGCAAATGGGAACAGATCCTAAAATCACTAGAAATTATTGCATTGTTGTTGTTGTTGTTAAATGTTGTCAAGTCGGTTCCCACCCATAGTGACTCTGTATAGGGTATACTTTAAATGGGTGAACTACATGGATCCAAACTGATTCCAGTATTTCCAAGGAAAAGAGGAATACCATGTGTTATGAGAAGAAATAAGAAAGAGAAGAAAGATTCACTCCCTGAGAATCTAGGAATGATGGTGAATGGAAGACAAATTGGCACAAGATAGCAATGAACCCTAAGAAGAATTAGGAAAAAGAAGCCCACCAACCCAGCTACTTAATACTTGATCCTATTTCTTTTCCTACTTTCAATGGAAGCACTTTTATAAAGTCAATGAGCCCCGATATCTATCTATACAGTGCTACATCATGCTCACATCTTTCAAAGGGAAGATCTTTTTCATCTTTATACTCCTAGCACCTAGCACTTCCTACCTTCTTGGCATATTGTCATGATGTGATAAAATCTTGTCTGTGCATTCCAAATGTCCACTGACTAATGAATGAACAGTTATATAAAATGTGGTCTATCCATACAATAAGTGGTTATGAGTCAGGCTGCTAACCTCAAGGTCAGCAGTTCGAAACTACCAGCTGTTTCGCAGGAGAAAGATGAGGCTTTCTGCTCCTGTCAAGATTTACAGCCTCGGAAACCCTGCACAGGGTAGCTATGAGTCAGAACCAACTCCATGGCACACAGCTACCACCATCCATACAATGGAACACTATTTGGTAAAAATAAAAATAAAGAAAGAAATACATGCTAAAATATAGGTTGCTGTTGTTGTTGTTAAGTGCCATAGCTTGACAATGACACTTAATTAGCTATTATGCTAATTAAGAAAACAAACATAAGACCACATACTGCATGATTGCATTTATATGTAGTATCCAGAATGGGGAAATCTATAGAGACAAAACAGATTATTGGTTAACAGAGGCTGGGAGGTTGAGGGACAGTGGGAGGAATGACTGATGGACATGGGGATACTTTGTTGTTGCTATTAACTACCATGACGACTGTTCTGACTCATAGCAACCTTGTTCAGTGGGAGCAGAAATCCTCCTTATGTTTCACCCACAAAGTAGTTGGGTGGGCTTGACCTGCTGACCTGATGGCTTGAAGTCCAGTAAAATGTTTCAAAATGGACTGTGGTGAATGATTACACAGCTCTGTGAATACACTAAAACTATTGCAT